TCACAACTTAAATTCCAATTTCAATAACATCACAGTGTAGTTTGTACAATAAAAAGTCTATCTCATGGGCACCTTACTACCTCATGTAAAACCTCCATTAAATACTTCCATTAAATGAAACTACTACATGTTAAATGAGTCAAGACTACCTCTGTTACTGCTTCACCAGCAACTGACATGCAGCAATGATGCCATTTAGATCACCAGCTAAACTCTTAGCTCACCAAATAATAATAACTACATTTACCTTGCGTAAGCCAAAAGGTGAGAAACTTTCAAATCCTCCAGTTGAGATTTTGAATCATTAGAAGAATTGCTTAGGATGGAGGAATTTTGGAATCTATACACCTTAGAAGTTACTCCTCATCATTAGAGTTGAGAAACCTTCAAATCCCTAGATGAGAAGCCTTCCCGCGTTTGTCGTAAGTTCTGCCACTTTTTGTTCATTTATTTTCATTTCTTTTCATTAAGGGCAAAATTGTATTTTTAGTCTTAGGAAAAATTGCAGTAAGGGCCCTAAGGCATGCAGTGCAATATCAAATTTTTTTAGGCCCTTAGTGCGATTCTCCCATAATAATAGGCATTGGGTGAATATCATTGAAGAACCTCTAAAATGATTTTAATATATGATAATGAAACATTATCAATTAACAAGTGAAGTTCAAGTTTTAATAATTATTCGATCTATCCAAATCTTTATTAAATATTAAATCATTTCAAAAGTCATTTATTGATATTATCCTTGATGCTTTTTTTTTTCCAATAACAATTTGTTAATTCGAGCTCAAGCAAGATTTGATTTTGGATATCTACTTTACATTCATCTTATCCATGGCATACATTTGCAAACATTTCCTTTTGATATAGAAATATTTTTTTTTTTTGGACCTGGCTCTTGAAATTAGAAATTGAGGCATAATCATTTCATGTTGGATGAAGGGAGCCCGGGGTTCAATAAACATGATGGCAGCATTGGATTGTTTCAAGGAGCACTGGGGCTCATGCAATGTCGGACTTGTCCATTTATTTGTTATTTAGGATGAATAGTTAATGTACTTTGGGGCTTAGTGCGAAATGGGCTATTGGACTTTCATTTCATGAAATACCTTCTCTTTCAAAATCCAACATTAATGCAAGCAACTATAAAAGGTTAGTTCAACTGATAAAAATTTAATCCATAATCTCATAAGTCATAAGTTTAAATCCCATTGATGATATAAAAATTTTGTTAATGGACGATCAATAAATACCTCTATAAGCACACATTAACTTTAGAGGTATGCCCTAATAAGCTCCAGAGACTTAACTCACATTATCTTTTTTATATATAAAAAAATTTAGAACAAGTAAATATGATTGTTCTTAAAAAAAAAAAAGAAAGTTCTCAATCTAGAAAGTTGATAAGAATTTAGTTCACAACTTATAAAGTTGTGGGATCAAATTTTATTACTGATATAATGACTTTATTGGAGTCTAGAAGTATGTCTTGGCTCTAGAAAACTCATAAAATTCAACTCACCTAAACTTTTCTTAAAAAAGAAAAAAGATTTGCCATATGGGTTGATCCATAAAGAGTTTTTTCTTTTACTTCTCTGCATCTTTACATCTCAACCATTGTTGGAGTCGCAAGTTATTGGCAAGCGCAAAGAGAGAGTTAACTCCCTTCGAATTATATGGAGTTAAATTTCACACTAAAGAAAATAAGAGTTTCGTTCCAATATAAATTATGAAGGAGGATTGAAGGTAGTGAATAATGAGAGCTCTCTATAAAGTCAAACTTGGTGTTAAGACTTAAGAGTAGAAACATGGACATTCAAGCACATCAACTTATAGATTTCACAACTATCTAAGCTGAGATGAGTTTTGGTGGGATTGAAGAAGTTCAAAAAGATTTCATTTCAGTATACGATGATCGAGGATGGTGGTCTATCTACCTTTGTTCTTACGTTCAGCTTTGGGGTCACTAATCTTTGATTTGCGTTTGTTTTCATGGTGGTCTATCTACCTTCGCTGTTTAGGGTAGCAATGGCTTCGTAGGAATCAGCTTCTATGCTCATCGCTCCTTTAGACTTTGTAATTTATTTTTTATATTTATTAAAATAAAAATTTATAAAAATAATATATGTTTATTTCTAAGGGTTAAAGGGTATTTTTGCCTCTTAACTTTATCCAAAAAGTCATTGGGGATTCTAAACTTAATTATGGGTAAATTTTGTTCCTTAACTTTAAATATTCTCTCCTTTATCATCATACCCTTTTCTTACCATTAGTTGGCTCCACGTTATATTTTTTAATATTTTTTATTATAAATATTTGAGTAGAGGTACTCACTAATCTTTCAAATAAAGATGAGGAGCAAAAATGATCCCACATTACATTTTTTTAATGTTAAAAAATAGTGAAACCCATTGATGACTAATTGACGTTAAGTATTTTTAATGTTAAAGTGATAAAGGAGTAAATCTTTAACGTTGGAATATAAAATTAACCCATAATTGAGTTTAGGGTATGACCCTTTAGGTAAAGTTGAATGGTAAAAATAACTTTTAACTTATTACTAATTTGAACAATTTAGATTTAATTTAGATTATCCAAATTTAATATTAATTTTTTTAATAATTTTATAAATTGACTTATATCTACATTTATTCTTGATTATATTGTCTAGGTTAAAATTTTTAACTTATAATTTTTTTTATAAAAAATATTGTTTGAAAAGTTCCAATTATGAGATTATATTTGTTTTCAATATTCTATTTATTAAAATAAAAATTTAAAAAATTAGAAAAAATTTAATATTAAATATGGACTGTTCATATTCTAGGGTATATTTAGATAGTCAATTTATAAAATTATAAAAAATTTAATATTAAATTAAACTATTCAGATTAAACTCATACTTTCCAGATAGATATATACAGGTATATTTAAAAATTTTATAATTTTTTATTTTGATAGATATAAAAATAAATATAAATATAAATTAATTCTTTAAATCTGGACCGGATATGCTTTTGTGGGGTGATGAAACGCAAAGCCAATCCGGCTGCGCATGCTCACTGAGCCACTGTTGCACTGTTTAATATATGTGCGTAATGTGTATTTGAGCGATTTGCATTCACTGATGAGCATGGCATGCTCATAAGGTTTAGGAGCAATCTTGATCCTTTATTTCAATTCAAATTGATTCTTTTTATCAACTTAAATTAATTTTAAAATATTTTTTATATTATATTTATTAATAAAAATATAAAAAATTTTAAAATTTTAATAAATATGTTCATTATCAATTTGATTAGTACAAATTTTAAAAAAATTTAAATTTTTACAATTTAACTGTTCAAATGGACTTTAGATAGTTCAAATATAATTTAAATTACCTAATTTAATATTAAAAATTTTATAAATTTTTCAAATTAACCATTTAAATTTATTCTAAATAGTCCTGATTTAATTTTAAAATTTTTTATTTTGATAAATATAATATTAAAAATATTTAAAAATTATTTTAAAAGGACGTCAAAGATTAATTTGGGTTGAAATGGAGGGTTAAGATTGCTCCTAATTTGGATGAGCATTCGGTGTGGACGTGTGTTTGAATGGTCATTGAAAATATTTTTATTATTTTATTAATATCTTTAAAAGTCAAGCAGGACGTACGAGCCTTCACAGAATTATTGCATGGAATTGACGAGATAAACTGGAAATTCAAGACAGAAGCAGAATAATGCACCAAAAAAAAAAAAAAAAAAATTGGTGGGACGAGAAGGTTTGGCTTGCTCATATGGAGCCCCACCGTTAGATTGGGACCATCCAAATCAATTCTAGGTGGTTCACACACATACACGTGACCACTCTCGGTGATCGATAATTAAAAGTTTAAAGTTATAAGTTTTAATGGCAAAATTTGTCTTTAAATTATAGGTTAAAAATATCTAAAATTCTAAACTCATTTTTAATATAATATTTTTATTTAAGTTTTGAAAATAGTGTAATATTATCCTTATTGTTAACAAATGTTAACTTTGCCACTAAAGATTAAGAAAACTTTATGATCTTTTTTTTTTTTTTAATGTTTTGAGGCATTTTCTGTAATTTTTTTCTTTTTCTATAACTTTTTAAGTCATGTTTATATAATTTTATGATCAATTAACTATCAAAGTTAACTTTTATTAATGATATGATTACATTGCTCCATTTTTAAAGATTAAAAAAAATATTATAATAAAATGAGTTTAAGTCCTCTAACGTTTGTGAACCATAGTTTAAAGGTGCAATTGTCATTTAACCTATTTTTAAATGATATGGTCATCTTTTAAAATATTTTTTTATTGCTCATAAAATATCGTTCAATGAAAAGAAATTCTATTTAAGACACATGGTGGCCCTAAGTTATATTTATTTTAATTTATTATGAACATAAACTCTGACATGTTCATATAAAACTTACTTCTCCTTAAAGACCAATTGTTATTTGAATTTTCAAAAATTCAAGGGCCACTTGACAGATGCTCCTTATCAGTAGTGTTTCCGTTTACATTACCAGAGGTTAAATTGCTAACTTCATTTCATTTAAAACAACATATGCACTTGTTTAGATCTAATGTACGTTTTAAATATGTGAAATAATATATAGATATATATATAATTTAAATTGTTCATAGTCCCAATTTAAATGATTTTATTAAAATTTTATGATTTTTTTTATTTTAACTAAAATTAAAATGATAATTTTCTGAAAGTATCGTTTAAAGATATTAAATTTTATTGAAAATCAATCAAAAACTAATTAAGAACTTTTATTATGATCAACTGGACAATGGTTCAATTACAATTAAAATAATTTAATAGTGAACAAATTTAACTAATTCAATGATTGATCTAATTTTAAAAATGTTGATAATGATAATAAAATTTGTAGTTTTTCCCTAAATCAATTATAAATGATTTTTTTTAAAAAATTTGATAATTGCAAAGAAGTGGAAGTTTCCTTTGTTTAAATGAACGAAGCTACATCCTTTCATATCCAAATTCCTTGTCATTGTCCTTTCTGGTCTCTTCAATGGATTGACTACTACTTTGGGTCATTGCTTCAATCTTCGTCATCTCTTCATCTTCCACTTGTTCTGTTCCTGATCATAAGAAGAATGAAAATAAGGTTCTTCTTTTGTCCATCGTTTCTCAATGTCTGTGCGATAATCGTATATCAGATATATATAAATGAGACTGCACAAAAGTGGCAACGCAGCAGTTTCATTAATTATTTAGTAGACAAATAGTGAATTTGTGGTTTTGTACTTTCAGGTTCTGGAAAAATGCTCAACCAGAAGACAATGTGGAGAGGGGCAGTTCTGCAGTTCTTGTCCTATAAAGTTTGATGGATCAAGATGTGAGATCAACAACTTCAAACCCATTTAATCTTTTGCTATATATGTCTTCATCTCTATTAATTTCTCTTCTCTACTCCACAGATTCTCTTTTTTTGTAGTTCGTGTCTGTGCGCGGGTGTGACACAGAGTGAGAGAGAGATCATCAGAAATCACAACATTACTTTGCCCATCTTTTTGGGGACTATATGGATAATATCTATCTACTGTATTCTCTATACATGTGAAAAGAATATTTTTCATTGTTTTTTATCATTATTAACGTCTCGATAAACAACATGCAGTGACATCATTTTTCTTATTTCACTATGTATGTTGACACCTTGTAATGCATATAACAGATCATATGATCTGGGAGAAAATAATTAAGTTCTGAGAACTTTTAGGAGATATTATATCGAAGTAATTTTTCAGATATTAATTGTATTGTTATTCTTCAAAATGATTGGTGGTATTAACTTTTATATAATTAAGAGGTTTGAATTGTAATTTATTTTATAGATTCATGAATGAACAGCTTAATAATGAAAATTTTGTAATCATTTAGTAGTTGATGATGTATTTTCTTTGATAGGGATCATATACACTATACTAATTAACAAGGTTGATTTGGGCAGAATGATTCTCTTCCACTCAACAGATATGCATATTTGACAACACACAACTCATTTGCAATTCAAAGAGAAGGGCAAAAAACAAACCAAACCCTAAACATTACAGGGCTTCCAAGAGTTACCTTCTCAAATCAAGAAGATAATATAACACAGCAGTTACACGTAAGCAAAACAATATTAAGATCATTACTCTATTTACTTGCTTAATCATTACTCTCTCGGATAGGTTTTACAAGATTGTTTCAGGGTGTTTCCTTTTTCAAAAAAAAAAAATTGTGAAAAACAATGATACATTAATTGATGATTCATTACCCAAAATACCCTTCATAATTTAACGTGAGTTAGGGTTTAGTATTAAAATGATGGAAGGCACTTTTGGAAAGTTGTGCTGCCGCTCTTTTTAAAATAATTAAGGTTTCTAGTTATTTCTAACTTTAACTACTTTCATTTGTCCTTGCAATTTAGTTAAGAACACCTTATTAAACACAATGGCGGGAGTATATTGATGTTTTTTTTTAATGATGTATTATCATAATGTATTTAATTCACTTCAATTTAACTAATTTTGAAGAATGAAGTTCGAGCTCTTATGTTGGACACTTATGACTACAAAGGAGACGTATGGTTGTGCCATTCCTTCTTGGGAAAATGTAATCCGTTTACTGCATTTGTAAGTGCCATATTACTTGCTACCAACTTAATATATGTTACTACATTATATTTCTTTTTTAATATAATATATCATATTCTAATACTCAAGTATAACTATAGGTTAAATAGTTAGACTGGAGTCAAAACTTTGTCTTAAGATAGGGGATTGATTTGTAAATGACAAGATGAGATGTAACTCTGTGAGAAGTACTCTTAGAATTTCTCTGTAGAACAACTAAGTTGCTTGCACCAAGTCAATAAGATAATGTTACTAATCTTACCATTTTCTTTTAATAAAAAAAAAATTGGATTGAGTTGGGCTGAGTCATGAATTTAGAACTTGACTAACCCAATCCTCTTTAGATAATATTTTTAAAGGTTAAATGACAAATTGACCTTTAAATTATATATAATTTTAAGAGTCTGTGACCCTAAACTTAGTTTGGGTGCATTATTCATTTTCAACTATTGAAATGGTACAATGTTATCTCTACCATTTACAAAATTTAATTTTGATAGTTAACCAAAAAATGATAAAAAGAATTAGAAAATTATAGAAAAAATTAAAAAACTATAGCAAAGGAACCAAAAATTATAAACAAGAACCCAAAAGTATAAAAAAGGTCAAAGAAAATTTTATTGGTCATTTTCTACATTTTTTTGAGGTCTTTTCTGTAATTTTTTTATCAACTAATGGCAAAGTTAACATTTGTTAACAATAGAGACTATATTATAATGTTTTAAAATGTTGAAAGAAATATTATATAAAAAATGAGTTTGGAGTGCTAGACCCTCCTAAGTTTATAGTTTAGGGGCTAATTTGCCATATACTTCCATTTTATGTAATCATGTAAAAACTTAATTTTATAATAGGATATAAAAATATTTTCAAAATAATTAATATTCATTTTTTTTTTGTTGATGTATCTATCAACCGACACATATTTAATTAATGAATATTTCTATTTAATTATTTTTATTTGTGTGTGTTTTTTTGCTGACAGAAACCTGTAATAAATGCTTTGAAGGAAGTAATAGTGTTTCTTGCAGGGAATCCATCAGAAATTTTGACAATAATATTGGAAGATTATGTGAAGTTACCAAATGGGTTAACCGAAGTATTCAAGGCTTCAGGTTTGATGAAGTACTGGTTTCCTCTCAAAAGCATGCCTCAAGATGGCCAAGATTGGCCTTTAATCTAGGACATGCTTGCTAAAAAGCAAAGGCTCAGTCTTCACCTCTCAGAAACACAAGCAAGAAAGTGAAGGCATAGCTTACCAATGGAACTTCATGGTTGAAAATCAGTGAGAGTGGCATTAAATTAAAACTCTCTCCAAATCACATCTCTGATATTTAAAAGTTGACAAAAAAAAAAAACATATGCATGAACTTCGAAATTAATTTGTATAGATCTCAAGTCATTAATGATCATTATGTTTTTTTTTTTCACCATCAGGCTCATAATTTCGATGCTTATATACCCTCTTAAAGTTTTTTTTTAATACAAAAAACATCTTTAGACTTTGAATTACCTGCAATAATAACTCCTATATAGCTATTTCGTCATGTGTATATAAATTTTTTGTTTTATTATACTTTATCAATGAATCAATGGAAAAAATGTTTGGGGGGTAAAATGCATACATTTAAAGGTTTAAAAAGTTCTTTGTAAAGTTTATAAAGGTTAAGGATGCTATTTATATTTAACCCCAAAGTTTTAAAAAATATTATGTATAATTTAAATAGAATAATAATTTAATTTTATCGTTTGCAAGTTAATCAATTGCCGTATCACTCTGACAAAAGACTAACACACATTCTCTTTTAATTTTTAACCAATGAAACAAAGAAAACAACAATAAACTAGTCAAATCTGATAACAAGAAATCAGAGAATTAAGTTTTTATATAAATTAGATAGTTTTGTTATGTGAAGATAATGCATTTTAAGAATATTATTGCAGATGGAAGCAGAGGGATGGTTAAAGAAAAATGCCCAAAACGGGAAGAGTCAGCAAAACTGAATGACAAAAGCAAATCATTGGTTCTGGTGAATCACTTCAGAACCATTCCAATCAAGCTAACTGGTTGTAAGGATAATTCACAAGACCTCATCCATATGCTTTCTTCTTGTTATGTTGAAGCCGGTAATCACAAGGTAACAGTTTTTACCATACACAACATTTTAACATTTCAAACACTCATACTTGAGCATTTTGATACTTTCTCTACCACCAAAAAGAAAAAAGGTGGAATTAGAGGCATACTTACAGTAGAGTTAGAATCCATCTTTAACCCAAAAAATAAAGTCATAGGTAATTTTAGTATTGCTAATCCTATTTGAAAAGAAATTTTTCAGCCTCTAATCTGTCTCTAGTTTCAAAAATTTTAGTAGTAATTAGTTTTCTAAAGCCATATCATTGCGCCATCGCTACTACAAATAGAAAAGCTATATTAGATGGTTATTTAATTCTATATTGGATGATTAAGAACTGTCCAATATGATACAGCTATATATTCTCGAATTATATTGGACGGTTAAAGGAATTGTCCAATACTTAACAACACATAAGAACCAGTCCATATGTGCTACCAGAGACGAGGCTTGGATTGTGAAGGCCATATTGGGCGGTTTTATGTTCAATTATGTTCATATTTTATGAAGCCTAATTTTATATTCACAATTATGTCATATCCCGTATTTATGTTATTTTTATATATATCCATATTCATAATTTCATTTCATCAGATTAGTGAAGGAGGAGGATCATTTCAAGCTGTGGATATGTTGAATGGGAGGCTCTTATATGGATGTCATGATCTCCACGCCTGTTTGGTAAGTTTTAGAATATATGTCATAGAATTCTTTATTTATGCTCTATTTTAGAGTGTGAATGCTAATTATATTTTTAATTTTTCAAGTAATATTAATATAGGAAAAATGTGTTTTATTATTTAAAATTCTATAATTTATAATAGAGATATTATTCTAAATCTTCTATAGGATGTATCACGGGCTAATACTTTCATGTTTGTTTTTATGCAGCATGGATCATCATGTAGACGAAGAAAGTTCCTGCAAATCTCATTTGAAAAATTCGTTGGGCTTAGATAAACCCAACTAATCAAAGAATACCTATTTGTGTGGGTTTCCATAATAATTGTGGATTATTGCTGGAAGTTTACCTTTGCATGAGATACAAGAAGTAATTAAGCTTAATTGATGTAGGAAAATTGGCTATTCAAAGAATTATTTAGGTTAGGCTTCTATTTAATGGGATTTTATGTAATCTAACTTATGAAATACAAATGAACAGGGCGTGGCTACCATTAAGCCATTAAAGCCATAGGGCCTCACATGAATTATGGGGAGAATTTTAATAAAGACCCCTTAATTACACTTATTTCAATTCAAAGCCTCTAAATTTTTGAATTTCTATAATAACCTAGGAATTTTAAATCAAATTAAATATGAAATAAAGTGTGTTCAAAGGAGTTTTGAATTTAATAAGTGTTGTCAAAAGGTCTTTACTGAAATTCTCCCTAAATTATAAGTCTCCTTTGTACTTTGTTTAGATATACATATATTTGGATTTAGATTTGAATTTAGGCAAAATTCATTATTTTGGCGCTTTAAAATTTATGGATTTAGATTTACTTATGTGTGTATGAATTTAAAATATATGAACTTTAAATTTGAGATTTGAAATCCAAAATTTTAAATCCAAAATTCAAATCTAAATTTACTAATCCAGACATTACGTTAAGTTATACTAATTGAATTCCATTTGGTAAAGCATATAATAAAATGAAATTTAAAGATAAATGATAAGGAAAATGATTTTATTTATTCACAAAAAGGCTATTAAAATATATACAGAGTATAAATTTAATGAAAAGTGAATCATAAATATATAATAATATTTTAATGAAAATACCTGTTTTTCAAGTTTTTTAATGCAATAACCCAATAATTTAAGTTAAATTAAAATTTATAATAATATAATTTTAAAAAAAAATTCCTAGTTTTGGGATAAGTGTCATATGATGTGTTAATGGCTTAGTGAAAATTCTTCTTAGTGCAAACCTATGTCCTAACGTGTCCTTGGTTCGAATCCTGGTGGTGCAAGGGTAGGAATTTTATGAAATCAAATACAGAGTCGGATAGCAGCGAAGGAGGAAGAGAGATTGACGTTTCGAGAGGCTTCTTCAAGTCTTCCTCCACAGTTCCCCTCTGTCTTCCATTCCGTCTCCAGTAACTGTGGGTGCGCTGGAATCTTGCTCCTCCACTTGCGTCGTCTGGGTGCGTTCTTTCCCTTCCCCATTTGCGCTGCTAGATCTGCACTTTCTCATCTCATCATCGTCCTCTGCTTCAATCCTTTCTCTTCTTAGCCCTGGTGAGTGTATGCGAGGAGAAGCTAAGTCATTGCAACCGGATTCGCCTCTTTTCCGTTTTGTTCCACATCAGCTCCTCCTTCCTCTTCTTTCATTTTCTGCATCACCAGGTTTTTTCTTTTTTTCTTTTTAACTTTCTCTGTTGTCACTAATCTGATATGAGAAAATTTGAATTCTCCTCATTGTCATTTGATTCGTGTGTGTGTTTAAGCGGGGGAGGTTGAAATTTTTTTATTCTTTATTACTTATTATGTTGCTGTGTGCGTTCAAGTAAGGAAGGGTGTTTGAGTAGGTTGAAATTTTTTAGTCTAGTGAGCAAAATAAAGATAGTATGTACTTGAATTTTATTTAAACTTAAATTGATTCTTGATGGGATATGGATTTGAAAGGTATGATAAATATAAATGCTGACACCGAAAATTTTTGGGTAGATACGTGATTGATGGATAAGAAATTCCATTAGGTGAGTTAGAAATTGAGGCATGTTAGGTGTTTGTTGAAAGGTTTGAGAAAGGATTATATCTCATTTAAATAATTAGTTATGGCTAGAATAGATGGAGGAAATTGGTGATAAAAAATGCTTGGGAAAACTTTAAAATAATGAATCTTGGTATTCTTTTTGAATTGATTATTGTGTAAGAATTTAAAATTGGGAAGTTTAATAAACTCAAATATTGAGACTAAAAAATATAGGATGAGATTTGTGGAGGAAAGAGCCTAGATGTACAGTGTGAACACCAAAATGTCTAGGAAGTGTTTGATAAAATGTTTGTAAGAAATTTTGAATTATAGTGGGAAAAAATTTATATATACAAAGTGCTGGATAGGAAGTAAGTACACACACACAATACTTGAAAGATCAAAGTTATAAATTGGATTGATGTGAGAACTTAGTTGATTATGGTGTTGTTACATTGGAAAAGAGTTTATTAAAATTGAATAAATGTCATTATGTTTTTCTTTTTATTTGTTAAGGGTGTTAGAGAGGGAGGAAGATTTGATTAAAGCTCTAAAGAGTGAATTTTAATACTTGGATATATTATAGGTACGAGGATAGTATCTCAAATAACTTACCAATAAAATTTTCTTTATAAAATTCATTAATGCCTTTTTTATTGTTTTATTGATAGTAAACCACATGTATTAAAGAATGATTCCTTTATTGAATAATTCTAATTTAATGGATTAATTTGTTATGTGAAATTATATTATATTGAATTGATAAAGTATTTACACAAGTTTAACTAAATTTTACTTGATAAAGTCATTCATGGAATTTTTTTAATGAAATTATAAAATGTTAGTTATGTTATGAAAATTTTCATGCATGTTTAAAAGTTGATTTTAAAGAGGACTATGTAAAGTGCTGGTTGCAAACGACAGTTCCATTAGTTCATAATGCACTATGGTTAATAACTAGGTAGTTTGATTTTTATAAGCTATGTTTTTATGTTTGTTGCGTCCTTACTTGTGTTTGTTTTTATGGTTTAAGTTGCATTTGGCTACTTATCATCGTGAAATGTGTATCCACAATTGTCTTTATGGCATAAGTTGCATTTGGTTATTTATCATTGTGGATTGTCTATCCACGTTTATCTTTGTTACATAAGCTGTGTTTGACTTAATTCTCAGCAACAGATAAACAATATAACAAAAGAGAATTAGGACTCTAACTACAATCAATGTCAAGCACTCTAAATCATATTTCCAAAAAATGCTACAGTTTTAGAATTTACATGAAAAGGAAGATATTCTCATAATCGATCTTCTAGTAAATGTAGCAATGAACCTGTCAAATGTCAGTAGGAGGTACCACGTTAGCTATGCTATTTGAGACTAAATAAAATACTTTCCATTGAATAACGTCCCAACTATGATATTTTGTAAAATTAAAATGAATAATATACAATCATTACATAAATTAAATGAGAAAGCAATTCAATCTAAACAAATTTGTAAATTTGAAATAAAACTTCTATATAACTTTAATAATAAGAATATTTAAATCTATAATGATAAAGTAGCTTTAACATTTAATTTTGATAAATCAAAATGATTAAATAAATAAATAAGAATAATAATATTACTAAATTAAAGACCATTACATATGAAATCACCAATTAATTAAAAATTCATACATTTTTTGGGGATTTATTTGAACAATTCACAAACATGAACACACAATCTACGAGAGAAAATAACCAAATACGACTTATGCCATGAAGAAAAACATGTACACACAGTCCATAAGGGGTAAATAACTAAAGGCAACCCGAGCCACGAAACAAATACGGACACACAATACATGATAGTAATAATAACCAAACATGGCTTGAACTGATGAAAACAAATGTAGGTGTTAAACCCACAAATAACAAATGTGAGAACAGAGTTCACGAAAATCAAATTAGCTAGTCATTGACTATAGCAAGTCAAGGGCTAATGAAACTGTCATTAGTAATTAATGTTCTGTATAAAGTCCCCTCCAAATTCATTTTCAAATGTGCGAAAAAATCATCACTATTAAAATATAGTTTTCATTTTCAAAATCAAACTGGAATGAATAGTTTTAAGTATCAAAACTTGTCAGAATAAAATTTCATAAATAATGTTTAAGCTTGCATTTATTGAAAAACCAAAATTACTAGAGCTGATAAAAATAATTTCATAAATTTTGATAGTATCCTTTGTAAGGAAAAACACAAATATGTCATAATTCAAATATTCTTCAATATCTTTTTATAATTTCCCAAGATAAAGATAATTTAATTAACAAAGTATACAATATAATTGTCATTAAATGATCTATGTAAAAAGTTATTTTGAAAAAAAAATTTTATTGATAAATCAATTGACACTATCCACTTGCTTTTAGTGTTTCTAAGTACTAGAATTCATTTTTTAGGACTTCATTCAAGTCTCTCTTCCTCTAAGCACTTTGCTCAAAATAAAGAACAACTTAATGGCCTTACTCTAGTCAAATAAACTATCTTCTAATATTGGCAACATTATAATCAATCATGTTCTAAATCATTATAACTTAATCAACTAATTCTCAATTTTTTCAATCCTTTCAATACTTTGCATACTCACTTTCTTGTCCAACCATATAACTCTCAAGAATTTATCTAATAACACACTAGCTCCATGTACGACAAATCTCTCACAATAATCAAATTAAACTTACAAATAATTACCAAATATGTGAAACAGAAAAATAAAAGAGCAGAAATGAAAGTCACTTAATAGAGCACAATAAACTCTCCGTAACTTTTCCTTAATTCTTGTAACCTCCTTTTACTTTGTATGCTTCAGTTTTAGGATTCTAGTACTATAAATAGGGCCTTTGTTGTCTGTGTAAAGCATCTCAGTTTGAAAAGAATAAACAAGTGTTTGTTCTCCATTCAATTTCTGTGCCATTTTGGTATCAGAGTCAGGTTTAGAGAGTGAAAGAATAAGATAAAGTTGAGGAACTACGTCAGAGAGGAGAGAAGCTCAGAGAAAGAGTCCTTGACTTGTTCGAATCCTACATTCCGAATGTTTTCTTCAGAAATTAATGTCACCATCGTACTTAGGAGGTCTGGAAATGTGGAGCAGGAGGTTTCCCGTCGCTGGAATCGTCTACACATGCCACCACGTGCAGTCGCTTGAAGCCCACACGCCATCGCCATCTCCCCAGGCGCCGCACATGCCAACCAAAGGTAGAAGACGATGACATCATCTACCAAGTCATCAATTTGATCAGTCAACAACAGGTCAGCCCAATCATTTCCTGCCATATGTCACAATCATCACGTCACCCTACCCAGTCAGCCATATTTCTCAAAATTACATTTTTACCCTAAATCTTTCCATAATTCCATATTGACCCTGTAAGTTTATGAAATTGTATATTGACCCCAAAATTTTTTGAAATTCCATCTTGACCCCTAATCTTCCTAAAATTACACTTTTACCCCTTAATTTTACTTAAATTCCATTATAACCCCTATATTTTCCATAAATTACAAATTGACCTCATACTTCTAGAATCTCCATTTTTACCCCTAGACTATCCAAAATTTCCATTCTACCCCTATATCCTTTCAACGTTTCCATTTGCACCTCAATTTTTCTAATACCCTTAGCCTTGACACTTATCAAAATGTCTCCAAGATGCAGGCATATGCACGAGGTTGAGATGGAAGAAATGCGACGTAGGATATGAGAGTTGGAAGCCACTGTGGAAATGCAACAAACTCTGTTAAACAATAACAGAGAAAACTTAGAGGGAGATTCGGGAAGTAGCAGTTCATCATCCACTGACAACTGCCGCCGTCCATGACAACAACAATTCCGCCCTAATGACCTTAAGATAGACATTCCTGAATTTGAGGGAAGACTCCAGCTAGATGAGTTTGTAGATTAGCTGCAAACTGTTGAACGAGTATTTGAATAGAAGGAGATTCCAAATGTGAAGAAAGTCAAAATTGTCGCCCTCAAACTCAAGAAACATGCTTCTATTTAGTGGGAAAACCTTAAATGGAAGCAGGAATGTGAGGGAAAGCACAAGATTGAGACCTAGGAGAAAATGAAATGCCAGCTCACTAGGAAATTTTTGCCAGATCATTACTACCAGGATAATTTTATCTAGTTGTAACATCTTCAATAGAGATCTTTATTTATAGAAGAACATATTAGGAAATTTGAACAACTTATGATGAAGTGTGACATTCAGGAGAATGAGGAGCAAACAATAGCTCAGTACCTTACAGGCTTAAACACAGATATTAATCATTCAATCCAACTTTAGCAATATTGAACTTTAGATGATGTCATCTATCTAGCCATACGTGTTGAGAAGTAGATGCCCAAGAGATTCTCTTTCCAGCCTTTATCCTCTAAGGGTTATCTAAAAGGCCATAAAGGCAGAATTTTAGTAGACCAACTCCTCAAGCAAGCCACAATCTACTGCTATGCATAAACCATCATCCAATGTTGCTAAGGAATCTGGCTCT